CACAGGTACCGGTTGAAGTGGAACTCCTTCTCCAGTTCAACCAGCTGGGCGCTGGTATATGCCGTACGAGCCCGCTTAGATGAGGCAGACGATCCGCCAGTAGGACTCTTCTCCCCGCTGCTGCCACTTTCAGCTCCTCCTGATGCTGAGGACAGAAAGAACATTTTACTGAGACAAAGCATGTAAGAAAAAACTGAGTGATGAAATGAAAAAGTGGAGGATATAAAGAGCAAGCAAACAAAAACCTAGAAAAGTGAGAGGGTGAAAATGTAGGAAATGTACAAAAAAGGAAGAAAAAGGAGGAAACAGGTGAAATGAAAACAAAGCAAAGTCAGAAAGGTGAAGAGAATAAAGCACAATCAGCCTGCATGCTGGAGGAAATTGAAAGCATTCAGGTTCTTAATAAAGCAGAAGGGGGTCCAGGCAGACCGGCTGAATTATCCCTTGATATTAGTTGTCAACACTTCATAACAGTGGCAGTTATTAAGAGACGGAAGCCCTTGTGCTTGCTGAGGGCAGATAAATTGCATCCCCCCACACCCCCACAGCAACAGCAGCTGCAGCACAAGGACTACAAGCAAGACACAAGTTGACCTGTATTCTCTTCAATCAGCTCACCATGAAAAGTCACACTTCTTAAAACATTTGGGCCATAACACTGACATCTACACGAGCTGCAAGGAACTGAGAGACTTTCTCAGAGAGGAACATCAGTGCTTCTGAGGATTATGTCAAAAAGCTGTGAGAAACAGGATTTTTTCTACTAATTTTGATTTGATTCTAGTGTTTTGGACACCAGTGGAAACCTGCTACCTACTGGCTCACTGTAAGTCACTCTACGTGAGTGCAAGTGACAAATGTAAATGGCAACGTACTGTATATGCTTCTCTCAGCAGGAGGCTAATCATTTTACCACAAGTCCACAGAGTCTTCTAAACCTCAATTCCACCTGCTGCGATAATACCGAACAGGACTCCAGATGACAGATAGTTTAGGATGTTTCATCATCAACATCAATGTCTACCAGCCACATAAACAGCTAAACCACAAATATATAAGCTACTGGCACTGAGCTGTCATTATTAAGGAATAGTCCTAAGTCCCTTTTACATACTGTGTATTTTACTAACAAAATGAAATGTTAAAAAAAACAAATTAACTTTTGAAAGACCAAATGCAAAATCAGGTGTAAAATTCATAATCTAGGTTGTCCACAGGAGAAAAGAACAGGCTTTTCTGCCTTATTTCCCAAATCACTGCTGTTCTTCAGCAATGAGAGAAGGGAATGAAACTTAGACTACAGTTTATTGCAGCTTAGTTTTATTTTCTTAGCTCTGGCCATCAGTTGTATAATGATAACTGCTGAGATGCTGGAACGTGGCAATATCAGTAAAATATGTCCTATGGGTGAATGAACATGAGTTATCCTACAATCAGACAGGCTGTAAACAGTATTCTCACCTTTATTAGGTAAATCTAGCTAAAACGAGTACAGAGTAATACAACAGTCCTGCAATAAATCCTACCTCCAGGAAGGTTATAAAGTTCAATTTTAGTTTATGAGGTGCTGATTCAGCTTTATGGTTGTTCTGAAGGCTGTTTGTTGTGCTGTTAAATTAGGCTGCATCACACTGAGAGGTGTTTCTAATATTATGTCCATCTCACTTATAACAATGGGGGTAAATAATAGAACAGCAGGGCAAACTACATCTTTCAAAGTGCTCATACAGTTGAAACAACACCTCTCTGAAACAGGTTTGAACATCATCACCTCCCAACAGGAAGGATGCCTACGCTTTAGACGAGGCGTTTCTCGTTGACTTGGAACTGAGTATATATTTGAAGGTCGAACACAAAGTGAACAATGTTGGTTATCTGGGAGCCCGTTTACAGCCTGTCTGATTGTCTGATCCCAGAGTGTGTTGCTGCATTCTGAGATCCCAGCAACTATGTGCAGTGATATTATAATTAGAGAGCTAGTGACCAGAAATATTCAAATAAAGTTAAGTTGTAGTAAACTGTAGCTTTCCTCCAGTCTTTCCAGAGTGGTCATGCCTGGTAAAAGACTTAAGATGTCATTTTTTCCACATGAACAACATAAGCATGATATTGTTTCATTTGATCCCAGCATTTCTGAAGGTTTTGCGTGTGAAAATGACCAGAGCTGCTGAAGTAAATGGCTGTTACAGTTGGTTAACTTAAACACCAACACAGACTGGGTTTTTGAGGGGGTTTCATCTCGATGTTTATTCTACACTAAACAGTAGAGCTAAACTACAGAGCCTCCTCAGTCTCTGTGTATGTGTCAAATGCCTCTGTTACCAATACATCGGTATGTGTCTCTGTGTGTGCCTGCACTGTGTTCATGCTAATAGCTGATGCGGCACTGTTCAAAACCAGCACTGAGATCCTATCTCTATAATTCTATCCCTTTCTCAGTAGTATAAAAAGTTGACTCTAGTGTTATTTCTATGGACAGAGAGAGAAGGATGAGAGAGGTAGCATTATGTCATCTGTCTCACAGCGGCGTTCCACAAATGAACGTGTCAGATCAATAAATAGTCTAATCTCTTCTCAGCACTTTGTCAAACCAACTGGAAGCCTTTTGAAGACTCATATTCATTATGATAAAATATATGTTCTTATTAATAACTACCAATTCAAAAAAACATATCTTTCTGTCTGTTATCAATCAGATTATATTCAAATTTATCAACCTGCTGAATTTTTTTTTTTTTTTTTTGCACGTCATTCTCCCTTCTCTCGGAAAATCTATTAATCTGTTATCGTACAAGACATTTACATTCATCCTATTAATATCTTCCTTCTTGCAGTGGCTTTCCACGGAGGTGAGAAAATGCAGAGGAAGATACAAGAGATGGGAGGAAGGAAAGCAATGGGAAGGCAAATAACAACCAGAGGGTGGAGAGCAAGTAAACACACTAGAGGAGAAGGAAGGTGTACAGGCTATTGGCTGCAGGTTGGGGCAGCTGGTTAGCCAGACTGGGCAATAACTAACTATACTGTAACAAACTGCTCAGTTATGGCAGATGAAAATGTTAGCTTAAAGAGAACATGCCATGGAAGTTCCTCTACTGAGCTGACTTTTTACTTATAGTTTGACCCTGCATACCTTTCTGTCCTGCTAGACTGTGTTTTTAACCTTGGTTTAACAGTATTCAAGATACAACTTCTTATGCATTTTACAACTCTTTCATCAGCTTAAAGTGGGTTTAGGGGGAATCATATCCACCCACCCAACATTTCTGTGCAGCATCTTCATTATGGCACAAGTTGCAAGATGTGGCTGATGAGCACAGGCCTGTATACGCACAGTGTTTCTGCACCTGGCAAAAGGCCTGAGGATGTCCCTGCACTCAGCTGGGCTCGCCAAGAATTAATTCCATAATCTAACTCCCTTAAACTATAAATTGTTGGATACCGAATGAGCAAAAAAGAAACAACGCGCTCATTAGCTGGTATCTATGAGCTTTAGAGGTGCCACTAAAGTGTAAGGTTTTCTCTTCAGAATGAGCCAAGTTAGGTGCTTCCAGTCTTTATGCTGAGCTAGGCTAACCGCCTCCAGTCTCCATCTCTGTACTTGCCACACAGACATAACAATTGGATTCATCCAACTCTGTCTATTGGTAATAATATGCTTAAACTACTAAACAGCTACTTTGTGATGGATGCGTAATCTCTGCACAGAATGAATTCAGAGGTATTTTTTAATGATTAACTCAATTACTACAGTTAATGGCTGCGGAGGCACCATGTTTTCAGGCCTTGCCTCTGATCTTTGACCTCTTTTACTATTGGCTGCTTGACTTGAAAGCTAGCCTTCTGACGGGTTTTAGCTGCTCAATCATTTAACTCTAATAATATAAGTGTAAAAATGTAATACAGAACTACTTTTGCTTTTAGGAGATACAGCTCAGCTTTTATGCTAACATGCTTTCTGAGGGAGATGGTTAAATGCTTTAAAGAATTCAGCTCACCAGCCACATTAAATTTAGCAACAGTAAAATCAGCTTGGATTAGAGCAGGCGGACCGATCAGACACAAAGAAATAATAACTAGCTTAACTAGTTGCCTGCAGTCATCTCCCTGTCCAAACCAGTGTCTGTGGAAGTCCAGTTGCCATAATAGGTTGAGAAACCTTCTTAAATCCTCTGGAGACTTGGGCTTGAAAAGGATCTTAATAAGAGAGGTAAGGAAAGTGGGAAGTGGTGAAGGAGAAGGCGGGATAATGGAACAAATAGGTTAATGAGGAAAGAAAATGAAGAAGGAAAGAAACGTGTGGAGAAGAGAGGAGCTGAGGAAAAAAAATAATGAGAAGCAGAGACTGATGTTGGAGGTATAATTATTCTGCTATGCTATGATGTTACTGTGCTCCTGTGAGGCGCAAGTCAAAGCAAAGTCAGAAAGACAGAGACAGGTGTAATCTAACACACCGTTGCCAGAGTTGTTGCTGGGTGAACAGTTTTTCTGCTTGGTCGTCTGCCGACACTCTT